AATTTTATGATGATTCCCTCAGAGCACCAGTCTGCACTGATAAAGGTCGGAGCATGTTTGTTGTTGGGATGAAGAGTCACAGTGTTGACTCACTCACTGATTGGCTCAGTGATTCAAACGCACTTGGGCTCATTGCTTCAGCTTGTTACTCTCTTATTGTTTAATTCTTGTAATCCTTTATTTGCGCCGCTTTAATCCTCTCTGTGTTTTCTGCCTGAAGCCTGATCGATGCAATCGGTTTGAAGTTTCTACGATTTCTCCTTTTTGGTCTGCAGTTATGACTTTTTGACTGTCTGATATATTTTTCTGTTTATGACTTATTCTTCTGTGTTGCCCGGGTCCAGACTTTAGCCTGTTTTTGTGTCTTTTGTCGGAAGCTGTTTTAATCTACATCCGTTCACTTTTAATGAGAAGTCCTAATATTTTAATTTCAAATATCGTTGACTTTTAAACATGTTCAAAACAAAACGAGTCACACATATCGGTATTCTGAGATGGAAAAAGAATGGCTATCTCACTGAAATCTAGAAGATCAGACCATATTTGCTCAGGGTTAGTTCTCAAGCTTAGACCAACTCTTCTAAACGGGGACAAAGTGGCTTACAACCTACTTATTTTCAAACTTTCTGAAGGAAAAATGTGTTAATATGAAACATCCTCCTCCTTTCTTCTGGCTCCTCTGTGGTTATCACATTGTGTGCATGACGGAGGTCACAGCACTGTATATGTGTGTGTGTGTCTGTAAAAATTAAGTTCCTAAAACACTCGAATGAGATCCAAACTTGTATTTTATATCAAATAATATTATTATTAGTATAGAAAAGACCCTCCTGTATTAGCAGCATTGTTACACACTGAGTTTAGCAGCTTTCTAAATAGTTTCTCATGTTGCCTAAATACAGAAATGCACGTCTCTCTTCAACTCTACACCTGCGCCTTAAGTAGGACAACTGCCAAATTGTCTCTTGTAAATGAGACGCTGAGTCTCAGTCAGATTATTTGTATCAATAAAGGCATAAAAATAGCATCAACAGGGGGTATTTAGTTTCTTCTTTGTTGTGATGTTTCTGTGATCAGTCATAAAAAAAATGCAAAACTGGGACCAATTAAATGATTTTGAGTTTATTATGATTCATTAATGACCAGAAATGGAGTGTTACCGAAGACTCAAAGCTCTGAATGGCTCACAGTTGAGGTCAAAGCCGGTGAGGTGACAGTGCGAACATCTGCACCCACGGACTGCTGAAAATCTAAGACTAAAATTAATTTTTAAAATAAGTTATCTTTATTTCTATTAGTCTCCTGATAACATAACATTTGCACTAAGAAAGCTGCTTATAATTATGATGAGGTGCAGCAATTAGACCGTTGGAGGTGCATTCTTGTGGATCATGTCTTTAGGGATAGAAATGTGCCAGTGTACGTGTTCATGTTGGATTTTGTTTGTATGAAATCATCTGTGTGCCGTCAGTGAAGAAAAGAAATGTTACAGAGATCGGCTGAGAGTGAAGTCCAGTGCAGAGATGAAGAGAAGCTCCGAGCCACCTCCATCTGCACAAGCAGAAATGCATAAACTATCATATGAGGGTTTTTTCATACTGACACGTGCTTAATTTTTTTATTCCATTCAAAAATACAGAATGAACTTTTTTTGGATGAGCAGTTTGAGAAATTATTATGAATAATTTAAAATATTTTCAGGGGTTCTTCAAGGAGATCTGAGAGATCTAGAGAAATAGAACCAAACAGTTTATTATTTTTCTAATTCAATCCAAACGAGTCAGTTTGGTGTGGTCGGGGGCGTCATGGTAACTGTTAGGGATGATAAATTATGATAATGACATTACTGCATAGATGATAAATATTTTTTGAATAGTCCATTTTGTATGTTTCTGCACAGTTATAGCTGCATACTGTCATCACCTTCATGGACCTTTAATTTTTTATTTGTGAAAAAAGCCAATAAATTAAGTTATACATGGATTTAAGGGACCTTTAAAAATAATCTCTTGAGTAGAATTTCTTGAATGTGGCAAAAAAAAGTATTTCTTGTCTTATTGAGAATATCTTTTTGACCAGACTAATCAGATATTGTGACAGCCATAGGTTCAAGCATAAGAAATAGGTGAGTGTGACATGATCTCCAGTGTTATTAACCTTTATCTTAAACAGGAAGTTAAACTCCTGTGATTAAGAATCTTTTTGTGGGCTGCATTAATTTAGCGTGCAGGCGTAACCGGAGTTCCTAGGTCAAACCTGCACAAGCGCAGGAGAACATGCGGACTCCACATAGAAGGGTTTTACTTATAAGGGTTTGAACCTGGGAACCTCTTGTTGTGAGGTAGCAGTCGTGCTGCCATTTAAACAGCCGCGCCCACCATCTGATTCAACCCAAAAGAGCATGCTGGAGGAAGGATATGGAATTTAAAAAACTCCCTTGCTTCTTTCTTTAAAGGTTTGGTTTTCAAAAAACAAACAAACAAACAAACAAACAAACAAACAAAAAAAGCCCTCACTGGGGTAAGTAATTAATTTGTTTTGGAAAAGGCTGTAGTTATGATTATTTTTTTTAAATGAGCAGTTTTCACCAAGTTATTCCCAGATTACCAAATCCTGTTATTATTAACTTATATTGAAATACAAGTAATTAAATACATTAAAATAATTAAACTGTCTAAACTTGAGTTTTATTAAACAACCAAAAGATGTCTGGTAGTAGAAGCTAAATTAAAAATGGCTCTCGGCTGCTTGGATCTGTGACCTCACTAAAGACTTTCCTGAGTGTTTGAATTCTTTTTTGTTTAACCCCACCTGATGGTCACTATTTAAAATATCATTTTCATTATGGTTAAGAAATCAATTTGAAGCCTTGAGTCTAGGTTTTGAGGGACAAAAATCCAAATTCCTCTCCATGAAAAACAGTTTTTAGTGCCTAAACATAACAGCAAACAAACAAAAAGAAAACAGTAAAAGTTGATCATTTTCTCCTTGCTGATATTCATGTGACGTGCATCACCACCACCACCTGCACAGCTTCTTAAAACAGACTTTGTAGCTCTGTGAAAGATCATTTCTCATTTTTTTCTGAAACCCAAACCAAAAGTAAAACCAAAAATAAAAGGCCAGTGAAAAAAATAAAATTAAAGTTCAAGTGGTGTAAAAGAAAACGTTCCTGATGGTGTTCTGGCTCATGAGCATGTCTTATGTGACCGCAGCCCTGCAGTGTCCCAATGTGCAGCTCATCATCTCCCAGTGAGCACCTGACCCATTCATCCACCCCAACCTCCTGCCTCTGTAGACTTTGTGGACCACGGCTAATAGAGGGCACTGTCACTTGAACTGTCACTGAGGTTACACACTGGTGCATTAAGTGTGTAACCTCAGACTGTCTCAGTAATGGTGAGATGGGATCTCTGCGGGCACCGTGCCATCTTTAGAGGGGTCCATTGTTCTTATAGAGGCTGAAGATGTTTAATTCTGTGTTTCTCTGGCGGCTTTCCTTTAAGAATATCTGTTTGGATGAGTGAACCGAGGGAAGCCTGCGTAGCTTCTCGAAGCATCAGCTGAATCTTTGACCTGTCTGTTTGTGGTTGAGTTGCATAATGCAGCTAATTGCTAGGTTTGGTTTTAGTGGCGATTTGGATCATTAAAAGCTTCAAATAAAAAAACACTTCCTGTTAATTAGCTGAAGGGTGCTTGGAGATTTAGTTGATAATTTCAGGTCCTTTATCATTAAAGAGTTAGTGCTTCAGAGTCTGTTTGATTTCTGGTTTATTAACATATCTGTGGATTCATTTCATTTAATGAGGTGGAGCAGGGCGGTGTGATCTCTTCACCACCGAGTCAGTCTATTTTTATTTGTCTATTCAGTTTTAAATGTAGTTTTTTGTTCACTTTACTCTCTGTTCCTTTTCAAAATGTGGGTGCCACGAGGTGAAGACGAGCATTTAGTCAATAAAATGTTAGAAGTAATTGATTCAAAAAATTCAGCTGAAGAGAATATTGAAAAGCAAAGTCATAGCCAGGATATGTAACCACAGTAATATCACAAAGCGCTGTTTGCTTTTCATTTTGAACTG